CGCTTCGCGCACTGCGGCGTTAAAACAGCAGTTAACAAAAAATCAAGTCAAAACAAGTTATATTATGTAAAGCTTACAGCTTAACGGTTCTGTGCTGATAAGATAAGTATGCAGATAAGTAATTACAAACATATGTAACAGGTTATTCAGAATCGTCCTTGCTCTCTTGCTCTGACCAGCTCTGCGACTTCAAATGTGGCCTTAGAGAGGGCCGTTGGGTTAGCTCACGAAGGATGTCGAACTCGTTCAGCAGAGGTATACTGCTGCTAGCTGGTCTCAGAAGTTGTACAGGGCCTCACGTCGATCTCCTATTTGTTCTTTCCACAAGAACTCCTGCACGTATTCTTCATATCGAGCGTTGTTAATGCCCTAGCGTCGCTTTCCCACTTCCTTGTATTTTTGCCAAAGTGACTCATCATGCTGAGTATGTGCTCCAGTTCTGGGATCAACGAAGTTCAACTGATGGTTAACCTGGAGGTGTCTCTATCCGAGGGGCAAAGTGAAAATTTGAGAGTAAGCTCTCCAGCTGTCGCTGAATATGGTGGTCCCAGGTCTTATGTACCTCGTGATGAAACACAAGTAAGTAGGGGAATCCTTCCTCCGTACAAGGGTGATGAAAGCTCGACCGTTCCCCCTCTCGAGGTCTCCGAAAAGCCTTTGGTGTCTACGCACCCAGCGTCTTCGGTTGTATTTGCGCCGAGTAATCAGGGTTTCGTCGATTTCGACTTCACATCCGAAATGATTGGTGGGTTCCTACTGAACTGTTCTGCGCAAACGTCACGGAAACATTTCTCCCATTGAACAACGGTACGGGGATTCATGTGAAGCTCGTATGCTTTGTCCTTCACCTTTCCCATGTCGTGGAGCTAGAAGTAGGATAGAGCAAACAGTCGACTCGCCGAGGTTGGACTTGTCGAAGAATGAGCCTTTTCTAGCAGGAACGTAAACCTTCGTTTCGTTCGTCGGTCTAGTACTGCACGATCTTCGGTTACACACCCAGCAATTGTAGTGCTCGTCGTTCCTCGGCGTCATGGATCCTTGACGCGATGGGCATAACTGCAACCGCAACTGCAGGTGGTCCATCTGTAGTTTTTCGAACATATCCTTCAATGAGAATGTATCAACCCGTGCTGGCGATTGCGCTGTCTCAAAACGTTGAGAGCCATTGCTTCACTTTGGCAACGAAAGCGAGAAATGAATCTACGGCTACTCATGCCGATTCCTTGGCTGCCTGCAAGTGTGGGAAATTTCTGGGGTCATACCGTTTTCCCAAGACCTGGCTGCCTGCAAGCGTAGGAAAATGCTTCTGACCTCATTTCGATTCCATTCCCTCTGCTCGAGAGGTCTAAAGCGCAGTCTCTAAGGTGCCCTCACCAATTGGGCTCAACCTATCATCAAAGAGAGCTGCCATTTTCACAAAGAATGCCATATTCGTAACCTGCGGCCTCGATAACTCTTGTACACAAGTTTACGGCGAATTTGGTGAAAACACCCCTGGCACCGACTAGCGCCGAATGGCGCCAATTTAGCGCCAGCGCTGAGAATGGATACCATATTCGTGATCAGAGGCCTCGATAACCCCCCTGATGCAAGTCTCAGCGAAAAATCTTTTTGACCCATATCACCCCCCCACTGGGGGTGTAATAGTGCAATAATGCCAATAATTCAAGAAATTAGGAAAAATGCACTTTACTGTAGAAGCCAGCGAGAGGGAGCGTCGTCGAACAGTGAGCGGTAGAGCAAGCCGCCAACTTCACTGCAGTGAGGAAGACGTATGTAGCCCGGCAGTAGTGGATTTAATCAGAGCATTCTGATGTCACGCTTAGCCTGTAGTAGAGCTGACTGAGAGAAGGGAATCACTGACACAACTCACGTGGAATAAAGGAAGGCTAGGCAGCTGGAGGTGAACTCATAAAAAGGAAGGAGCTTGCAGAGTATCAGCACTAGATGGCGCCCTTCATGATGGAAAGAAAGTACATTGTAGTGCACTGAAAGTGCACAGATTCCGCATAGACATTACAAATAGAATTGGAGGGAGTGATAGTTAAAAACAAGTTCTTCGAAGTTCAAGGCAAAGTAGAGGTGGTAGGGCAGGCCGCTAATGATGGTGGAGTTAACATTTAGTGCAGGTGTAGGTAACGGCATAGGCCTTTGACAGTAACCGCGCAAGGCATCAAGAAAAAACTATGCCATGTTCGCCAGGAAGGAGGCGACAGTGAGTGTGGTACTTTGAAGGTTATGGCTCATTCCTTCTGTGAGAGAGACATGATAAGGAAGCAGATAGGTTGTGGACTCCATTATGAAGTGCTCATAGGTAAAGCAGGTATCCAATATAGAAATTTTAAGAGAGCTAGTGCGCATACGATAATAATAAAAAATTGTTCCCAAATGGTTCGGACAAGCGAATAAGTGCACAAACAGAATTCAAGCTCACGTAGTACATTTGTGCTCAGGTTCTCTAGAGCCATAGGTGGTGGCAAAGGTAAGCAAAGTAGTATGAAATGGAAACGTGAGAAGATGGTATTATGTAAGGACAAACTAGTAGTTGCGCGTCATCTGGACGGGTAAAAAATAGTATGTCGTGGCTCTGAGGTCAAAGTGAACCCGTAGCTAGATGGAAATGCGTACTCAATGCCTTAATTATATGTTCTGTCGCATACGTTACCTGGCGGCAATATATTCTCGGAGGTGTATCGCTCAGAAGCGTGCTTCGAAGTTGAATTCAAAGATGTGCTGCGATCAGTAAGCATGAGGAGCTCGGAGCTCTTCGAGTATACTGAGATTTCATTTGAAATTGCGCCGGCACCAGAAAGTTCCAGCAATTAACGGCATAGACTCTGGCGAAAATTAAGGGGATGCTAATCTATCGGTGCAACATTACGGTAACATGACAGCAAGAAAGATTAGAGAAGGTTTTGAACTAATTAAATGAGGCTGGGTTTTGTTTTAGAGCAAAGTAATTTGAATTTATAGGAGATAGAATTCTTGTACAGTGTGATTGATGAGAAGGGCATCAGACCATCTTCAAACTAGTTGAAAGAGGTATTGAATATGTCGAAATGTAGGAGCTGAAAGGAAGGAGAGTCCTGCCAAGGCATGATTTACTATTATAGCTCCAGTCTGAGCTAACCAGTGCTTGCTGCACCGTTACGCAGTCTAAGAAGAAAAGATGCGTATGGAAGTGGGTGTGGACGAAAAACAACTTTATGTATAGAATCCATGAAGGGCGCATAACATCGCATTTATATGTACATTGTATAATGGGGACGTTTTGTTAGCATCAGCGTGATACTTGATGCTTTGAAGTATTGTAATAGTGTTGTAAAAAAATCATACGTATGTTGACAAAACTGAAGGAGTCAGACTGTGCAGTACGCTTATGACGACATAGGAACTGAAATATACCTAAATAGAGAAAAAAGAGTTGCAAATAGCATGCCCCAAGGAAAACTTTAGTTAGTTTCTCTATAGAAGGCTGGGCGGCTCGATTTACAAACCAACACACTTGCATACGCACACATGCACACACACGCACAGTCACACAGACCGACATATACACGTCGACGCACGCACGCACCGACACAAACACACCAACGAAAACCCACACAAACCGACACACACTCACATACACCGACACACAAACCCACACACATCCACTCACCGAAACACAATCACATACATCCCAACACACCACCCACGCAGATAAACACACGCACACACCCACGCACACACAGACACACAGACACACACATACACCGACACATACACGCACACCGACATACACGCCGACACGCACACAAACCCACCCACCCACATATACACACACTGCGACACATACGCCGACACACCCACACAAACCCACACATATCCACGCATACCGACACACAATCACATCCAGCCACACACACCACACACACAGGCGCACAGCCCACAGACTGACATACACGCACCGACACATTCACGCACACCGACATACACATGGACACGTACCTATACACACATCGACA